ATTGTAATCTTTGATACAGACCACTCCTGAAGGGATTGTGATGTAGGTCTAAGATCCACTGATGCAATGATCCTGCACGTCTTTCAAAGGCTCTAATCAATCCTAATCTTTTTAGTGTTTAGTGAATTTTGTTAGAAGATCCATAGTTTTGTGTTGCTTTGAAAGAAGGTGCTGGACGAGGTGGACCATGTGGAGCACAGAGCGAGCTTGCATATGGGGCTGAATGACTGAATGTAGGTAGGACGTAAAACAACGACATGGTCAATTAGATACAAACAGCAATCGATGTTTTCTAACAGAGATGAGCATATTGATCAGGAAAAATACTGAGAGCCGCCCGCTGTTTCCAGTTTGTCTTTACGGGGCCCAACAGCTCCATATCTATTCTTAGAAAGCCTAGGGCATCAGATAAAAGCACGGCATCAGAGATCTACTCAAAGTTAGAAAGTAAACTGGCCTCAAGGTCAACACACAATAAATGGTTGCTTTGTCTTTCTGAAACTTGATAATGGTTCAAACTTTTTCTGAAATCTGAATGAACACATTTTTTTTGTTTTTCTAATTTCAAGGATTTATGTTGATTCATCCCCCCGCCTCTGAAGAACGACATCTCTGTCTTTTTTTTAATATCCGGCCTCTCCATCCAGAGAAACATTTAAAGCTGCGTGAGCTCCACCCAACAGCGGTGTCAGCTGCATTGCAAAACATATTTCAAGATTAAGCACAAAACATGGCTGCCTTTAAATGCTTTTCGTGTTATTTGATCTAACCTGTTAAGTGCATTTATTACCCTGAATGCCCAACAGGAAATGCCACAGGACGGCAGACAGAGTAACCCAATAAAAACAAGAGCGCCCAAATCATTAGTGGGGAAACGCCGTCCCATAACACTTCCAGATGTACAGGCTAATTGGATTTTACCGTTAAATCAACAGTCGTAGTGCTTTTGTGAGACTGACCGCAAGGTGAAAGGAAAATGGGCTGTTTGAAGTAACAAAACTTTCCCTATGTAGAAAAGCTTATAGAGCATGCTGTGCTGCACAATGAGAGACCGCTGCAGCACGATAGCCACGGCCCTCACTCCCTAAATTGATCGAGAAATGATTTCGCAGACAGAAACAGGGACCCATCAGACGCTGATGTAAGTAAGATGGCTGGCATTGAGGTAATTGATGTGGAGAGATTTCCCTCCTGTACCAGGGCGAACCCCAAGAGCTGTGGAGCAGCCACTAAAGAAAGTCATGGCCGTTTAGCTGCACGGTTACGTCAGAGGTTACGGTTGGTATGCGGCCTGTTGGGAGAAGCATCCCCTCTGACTAAAGGACTCTGCAAACTGATCACATCCGCCACAATCCTCGCAGGACGGCATGACTAAACTCTGCAGGCAGGGAGACAAGAAATTAAAACAGATTCTCGCAGACTGATTGAGATCACGTAACACTACTGTGATAAATTTATTTTACAATCGACAACCCCCCCCATGAAAAAACATTCATGGCTGACTCATTGCCTCCCACGCATGGACCAACCGCTTTTAAGGGAACAAAATAATTTCCTCGCAGGGTTGAATTAGTTGTGAGGAGCACAGTTTGTCCATCCCTCATATTGGTTGCAACACTTAAGTTCCCTTCCTTCTCCAGGCTGCCTCCCTGCTGGGTTTCATCATGCACAGCGTGTCACAAGGCGGCAGCGCTATATGGGGACTAAGCAACAGAACTTTGGATGTGTACAGTAATTGTGGTAATGGGAATTGGCGTATTTGGTGCACATGGACCCATAAAAACAGAATGGAATGGAATGAGCTGAGGTTTGTTGTATTTCTAGTAAAAAATAAAAATACTGTCTGTTGTGCGTGTGGATGCCTGTGTTTGTGTTGACCGACATCTATAATGGCCTTTCATTTCAAGTTTGGAAAGTGCTAGAGGCCCTTGACTGGTCCGGCCCACTTGTTCCCTCATCTCTAATATTCTCCCGCTCCACGTCAGTGTCCCCATGTGACAACATGCACACATGCAGGTACACATACGCAGAGAGTTTGTGTTTGATATGAGGGAGGTGACAGACAGTCATGCCCATGCCCCCGGAGGGCAGAGCGGAGTGGCTCTCCAGCAGGGACACTGACGTTCACACTTAAATGCTTTAATAGGACTAAAGTAGACAAAGGCCGCCAGTGACGCAGTAGCGGCTATAATGGGCTTGCCACATTGCAGGTTTACTGAACCCTGCCTTTTAGATGGAGCTATTTCCAATCCCACAATCCCTCATCAGCCTCAGGAAGCCAGTTATAAATAAAAAGTGTAGGTTAATCGTTGCTAACGAAGTCCCATGGAAATGTTTTCTGTTTTCTAAAAATGTTTTATTCATTTTTACGGAGCAGTAGGTCAGATTGACCGAGGGTATTTTCTGGGAACTCATTATTCATCTGTACTGTGTAGTGTGGACAAACAAGGTTGATTTCTCATATTGTATATATTAAGACAAAATGAGGCACAAAACTATGAACACTTTGCAGAACATTTAGCAAACAACCACATTACAAATAAATATAAAATTAAATAAATAAAATGTCCTTTTTATTTTAAGGTAAGACAAAATCACATTGTCATGTCATAAAAATAGGTATTCCATTGTCATGATAATTGTTATTCATGTGACATCCTTACTTCCTCTTTTGATCAATTATGCCTATTGGAGACAGACACCGCGACAGATGAAGCTCCGCGTCCGCAGCCATCATTACCTCGGACTTGAAGGCTTGTTGTCTCTCACATCTTACCCAGCCTGACTGCCAAAACTAATCTGCAAGGATCAGGAGTTTGCTAAATGTGTTCAACTGAAATGTGTCACTCAGCGGAGATCGCTTCTGGATAGATGTCTCATTACTGTGAAAATCATCCTTTCAGCTATTCAAAACAGTAAAGACGGATTACAAATAATGTCATTTACATTTTTTTGTATTATTACGTTTTAAGATTTGAGAATTCTAGTGAGAGATCTTGCTTGCTGTTTATGAATAATGAAGCAGCACCACATCATACATTAGCTTCTGACTTCAACGTCTGGCCTGCATGCGAGCTGTGCATTTCCTTCTTGGCCTCCTGGTTTTTCTGTGATAAAAGGATTGAGGGGTTAAATGTTTGTCCAGCTGAAACAACACAGTAAAAAGTCCTTCTCGGTGTCTCTCTATAGCCAAGTCGTCAGAGCTGAGGGCCTAAAAATAGCCATGCTGGCTCCACGCCCCTGGCTGGGGGACAGGTCAAATTATGAAGGAAGATGAAAAATTTAAAGGCACAGACTGCTTGGCCACAAACCCAGCCCTGCATCAGCGGTCAGATAGAACATTTGACTTGACGTTTATGGGATGGACTCACTTTATATTTACTATGGATCGTGGCCACTTTGGGGGTTTGGGAAGATTAATTGAAAGGCTCATACAATGATATTGGTCCTCCAAAGTCAATATTCAAATCCCCCAGATGCTCTACCTGTGTACTGTAGTTCTTTACCAAAGAAGTGTTCTTGACCCAATGTGAGAGGTTTGTGTAGTGATGATGCTGTCGTAGCACCTTACAGATGTGCTCCCTTGGATGAAAGCATCCTGAGCACCACTGCCCTGGATACACACTGAACTCCACACACACACACACACACACACACACACACACACACACACACACACACACACACACACACACACACACACACACACACACACACACACACACACACCATGCCAATGCAGGGAGGTTACACTCTCACAGTGTTTTACCAAAAGAACATCAGTTCCTGTGAATCTTACAAAATACAAACCTTGCGTACACATTCGACACATCACACGTGCTGCGCGGAGGTGAACGTTCAGCACAACAAGGCACCGATGGATCATTCCAAGCCCGTGCGCCTGAGAGAACAACACGCAGACACAAATAGAGTGAGTGAGGTGCAACAAATCAAACAGCGTGAGAGAGCGAGAGAAGGAGAGGAATCGAGCCTCCATCTGCAGAGAGGGAGTCAGGAGACATGGCTTCTGGCGGGAGCAGAAGGAGACAGCTGTGTTTGGTGTGGTATTTTTAAACGCATCAATGCCGCCCCAATCCCCGCGCCTCGCCTGACCTATTTTTAGCCAGGGCTGGCCATTGTTCTATTTCTGTCACCTGTGGGCCACGCAGTTGTTGATTCCCATGCAAATGAAGCTCGCTCCCTCCCCGGCGTTTATATCTCCGCCTCGCAGAGGAGCTCGGCGCGCTCACTTCCACGGCTCTCCTCCTCCAGCTACACCCGGCTCTCTCTCTCTCTCTCTCTCTCTCTCTCTCTCTCTCTCTCTCTCCTCCTTCCTCCGCTCGGTCTCCGAGGAGAGAGGAGAAAAAAAGGGCCACAGAGGCGCAGAAAAAAGGAATTAGGGAGTGGGAGTGGTCTGAAGAGGGAGAAAAAAAATACAAAACAAAAAGCTGGACTTGGCACACCTTCTCCTAAAACTGAGAGTGTGAGTTTTTTTTTTGCACCAGATTGAAGCGGGTGTCGGCCCTGCAGAGAGAGACACACACACACAGACAGAGAGCGCAGTTTGTGTTATCGCTTTACGCGCGGAGAGAGAGAGAGAGTCCCTCGGCCGTCGTGGTGGAGTGAGTGCGTGTGTGTGCGTGTGTGTGTGTGTGTGTGTGTGGAGGTGGGGGGGGGGGGGGGACTTCGGGGACTCTGGGAAGGGGTGAGGGGGGGGGGGGGTTTTCTTGGGTAAAAGGAAAACCTTTGTTTTTGGGATAAAACCCGCCGGTTGGTTGGATTTTTCTCCAGACGTTTTAGGGGGGGGATTAAATTTTCCCCCCAAAAAAAAGGCCTTTTTCCCCCCCCCACCCCCCCCCCCCCAAGGAAATGCCCGACGTAAACGCTTCAGGTGTTCCCCCACCCCCGGGGTTTTTTTCCTCCCCCTGAGGAACCTGGGTTGTTCTTCCTTTTTTTCCTCCTTTCCTTTTTGCATTCCAACCCCTCGCCCCCCCCCCCCCCCCTCTCCCTATCGCTCTCTGTGAATCTCTTCCTACTCCTCTTCCGCGTCAGACCGTCGGCGCGTCTCTCCCGCACACACACACGCTCTCTCCCTCTCTCTCGCAACTCTTTTGCGCTCAGCCGGTCGCGCATTCTGTGCGTAAAGAAGCAGTAAAGGAACAGGCTCTCCTTCCTCGATCCAGGTACTTTGCTCTCGTGGTGGTGCACGCCGCTGTTGTATGACGTGTCTTTCTCTGTGGGGTTGTGAACTTAGTGTGTGATGAAGATGCCTTGTGCGGAGTTAGAAAGTGACCCCCCCCCTCCTCTTCATATACCTTTCCAATGCATTGCGTGTTTACCAACGTGTTGAGTGTGGACATGAAGGGGGGAGGTTGTGTTTTGCGAGCTTCCATCATGTGCACGGTGCACTTTTCGGGGGCAACAGAAGCAGCTGTGACAGAAATAGTGGAGGCACAACTGGAAGGGTTGAGGATATTCACCACAGTCACCGACTGTTCTGTCTTTGGCCGGAGAATCGAGTTGAGGAGGACACGGCTGTTATCACTATGAGTAACATCTATTCACCCAGGATGAGTCACACCTTTCTTTTCAGCGTGTAGCTATTGATGAAATGTGTAAAATTGTCTCCCTCTGGAAATGACGTCAGAGTTGGGGCATTGTGCTCTGTCAAAACACCAGCATGTGGGTTGCTGAGGAGCGTGTGTAATGAGAAAGTAGGGATAAAGTCATGTGAGTGCTTCATTTACTGGAAAAAAAACCCCCGCGTACTGTGACCTTCTCAGTCATTATCTACAACCGGTCAACAGCAACAAAAAAAGAAAAAAAGGGGACGACATGTCGAGTAACGCAAACTGATTGTTTGATGTGCATTTAGACGTTTGTGGTCGACTGTTGAGTGTTTTTGAGGTTAAAATCTCACACACATCACACGAGAGCCTGACTTCAGGCGAGCAGGACATGTGACCGAAAGCATCCAGAGGCCCGGGGGCTAAACATGTGAAGAGATTTTAAAAATAAGACGGGGGGGGGGGGGAGATGAGAGGGACATGACACATTCCAACCCTGAGCCCCATCAATAGAGCGTGCTGTTTGACCGTCGGGCTACGGGAGCAGCACAAGACGCTTTCTTCTTCAAGCCTCACAGCCAAACAACAGATAGGCCCGAGCGCCCGGGTTCGGGCTCCTCGCTTATTCTGTGGGTCAGCTATTCTTAGGTGAGTTATTTTCGGCTTATGGCATTAGCCTGCTAAGATTAGGCGTCTGCGCGTTATCGTTCCATCCCGCCTTGCTCCTGATACAACAAGCGGGTCGGATCAGATATTTATAGAGAATTCTGTCATTTGCCGGTTTAATTTGTTCTTTCCATTTTTGTAGCGAAACACTTGACAGTGAGTAACCGTCGCTCTAAAAATGCAACCGCGGTGCTGCCTTTGTGCGAGTTTACATGGGGGTGGGTTTGAATACTTGGCTGTATATTCATGTTCTTAGGACATGAATGCATTGTCACGATTATAATTTGAGATGTGCTGCTTGTTGGCCAAATGGTTTGTTTCTAGAGCAAACTTGTTGCCATTTCATAAGATCCTTCTTTGTTATTACGTTTCGAGTGCAACTAAAGGGCATAATCCCGTTTTTATTTGGCTCGGTCTCAGCAGCATTTCTGTTCTGACAATAAGGGTTTTCAGATAAAGTGCATATTTTTTATAATTACTTTCCTTTCAACATGAGGCCTATCAGGTAATATAATATGGCTGCTCTTTTTAAGTCCTGTCGTCATTATCCTGTATCCATTCTGGGGGCCTCACCATGTGTTTTTAGAAGTGATCCCCACTAAAGGGCCCAATTTGGTAATGCTTTAAAGTTATATAAATGATTAACTTGCATGGTGTTTTCCCTTATACGCCGTCGTATAAAGAAGAGCACAGTTTATTGCTTGTCTTTTATCAGCGATGAAAAGGTGATGCTTCTCCCCTGGTTCGATGGTTTGAATGTTTGCTGTTGCTCAAAGCATTACGGCCATTGACTCTCTGTGATGGATTTATCAATAATTGTATTGCCGCTATAGGATCTAATGCCAAAGTTGTCCACAGAGGCTTGAATAATGATATTATCTCGAATATGTTTCTTTCCTTGGCTCTTGCTGGGATACAGGCTCAACATACGTCATTTAGTTGTTGTGTTTTGTGTGACGACCGGGCCGCGGCTCCCCTGAGCGAGATGCCGGCGGCGGTTCAGCTCAGCCCATGTCTCTCTTTAGCAGGTAGCCTGCAAGCCGCCGCTCTGGCTCAGCTGCAAGGACGAGCCTGAGTCTTAAAAATAAGGACCTGTTTTTTTTTTTTGTTGCTTTAGACATGCCAGCTGCTCAAAATAACAAGGCACTTAATGAGAGATCCAGCGCCACATTGCAGTCCCATGCATCAGCTTATTTTTGCCCTCAAACATCTTCTGTATCTCTGTTCTATTTTTAGTGTCACACGGGGCAATTTAGATCAGCAATAATCTCAAGTGCACACAGAATGCACACAATCTTCTTAAATTCAAAAAGCATTTGTAAGGAAAATCTGTAAAAAAGTGTAAGATACACACATTCTTTTTTTACTTTTTATTTGGTGCGAAGATTTAAGACTGAGACTAATGAACAATAAAGGAATGCTTTTAGTTATGACATTCTCAACCATTATACTTATTGCAAAGGTAAATGTCTCTCAACTATAATAGCAATGTTAACATTTAAAAAATAGGATCTGAATGACGTTTAGCTTTCCCTGTAGGTACGCAACATGTTTATAATTAATACACCAACACAATGTGTTTGTTGTACTACATCAACCCTTTAATAATGTTAACCATATTCAGTGACACCCAATATTATTTCTAGGTGCAAACTAACTTGTGAGGCTGTACAATTAGTCAATTACAATGTTAGGAACTCATTTATCAAACTATTTATCAGGTATTTATTAGGGAGCCAGGAAAAAGATGAAACATTAAAATGCCTCGGCGCTCTAAAAAGTCCAACCTGATCCTGCACACGGCTCTTTCTGATAATATTCTATGACGTGTGTCCATGTATATCTTACTCCTCACACGTTATAGTAATGTCAGTAGCCGTGTGTGTCTCTCTCCTGGGTGGGAAGCCTCTTAATGTGGCCGGGGGCAAAAAAAGACATCCAACATCTCAAATTAAGGCTGTGATTGTCACTCCAACCACCACCAAGGCTAATGAGAGGCAGATCGGTTATAGAAATAAACACTTTGGGGACACTTGCGGTGCGACACTGCAGTGGGAGTGTGGTCACAGGCTATGAGTCACCCTATCCCCCCTCGGCAGGCGCTCCGCAGGGAGGAATTTGGGCATGGGGCAGGGTGCTTGTTGCTGCCTTGTGCTATAAACAAATGTGGGACCTGTCATTCATAAATCTCTTGTTTACCAGTGCCTAGAGACACGTCCGTGCGACTCCCACCAATCAGGAAGCACCTCACTCTTACCCTTCATATGAAGACTCAGGGGCTAAAAATGGTGCTACAGGACCAGATGAATATGAGGTGACAAGCTGTTCTTTGCGAGTGATCCTCTCAAAAAGGGACCTGAAAGTTACATAAATGCAGTACTGCTCTTTTATTTTTGCCCGTGTTAAATTGAGCAGGCGGCCTTGCAACTGTGACACTCTTTCGCACATTGTCTATATTAAGATCCGCTCAGAAAAGCATTTATATTTAGCCCCCATACTAGTGGTTCCGTATTCTCCTCTGCCAAAGGAGTATTTTGGTAATATAGAAACAGCAATTTGTTACAGGTGGTTTCAGAGTGCATTTGTAATGCACGTTGTATGCGACTTCATTTTTGTGGAGTTTGATGCAGAGGTATAATGTATTCTGCGGTTGAGCAGAGGTGCACATTCTGACCTTTTTATCTTTCAATCAGAGAGAAAAACCATATCAGTGAATCACAAGGATGTAAGTTGTAAATGATTCATTAGATAGGAGCTTCAGTGGAGCTTGAACAATGCCTGACTCCCTTCAGGACCTTATTCTGTTTCCTCAACCTTGTCATTCCAGGCACCGTCCTCTCTGCCGGTAACAGGTAGAAAAACCGGTAAATGACGCTGTTGTGGTGTTCCTCAAGATGAAAGGAGGCTTTTCACACCCCTCCTTCCCCATTCCCTTTTAAACCACTGTCTGAGATTTTGTGATTGCGGCTCAGCTTGATGTGCTGATCAAAGTGGAGATCCTTAATGCCAGTCGCAGGGAGGGAACAGAATGAAATATCAGATTAATTAGATATCTCAGTGGTGAATTCTAAAAGGCAGCAGGTGTCTTTTGTTGCTATATTTAGGTCCATTAGGCAAAAGTAGCACCAGGGCCTGTCTGACTCTCTGACCCCTTCAGTGGTTCACAGGTTCCCATCATGCCCCCTGCAACAGTGCCTGCTACACAAGAGTCCTTTGTACTTACAAGCTAACATTAATATTCCCTGTCTGGAGAGAAGGGTTTGTTCCACAGGTGCCGCTTCTCTGCGCTCGCCAAACCGTTGCCCTCCCCTGTCGTTTCATGGAAGCTGTTTTTAGAACGAAGATGAAAAACAATTTTTCTACGGGAGTCCCCTCTAGCTGTCTTCTCTCTTCAAACATGTTTAAAGACAAGTTATCACTTAGCCACTGAATCTCTGCAGTGTGCGTGTGTGTGTGTGTGGTTGGAGGGTTTTGCGATGCTTTCGACCTGGCTCTCTCTACTGGGGACTCCTTTCTTATATAAGAGCCGAGAAGGCGATCGTCAACATGTCACGTTGCCACTGTTAGGAGAGAGATGACATGCAGCGAGACTCGATATCTGCAGGATGGGGAGACATAATTACGTCGCCAGCGTTGCCATGGCAGCGGCAAGTTAGGGTTGGTGGATACAAGGGTGTGGGGGTTGTCACAGACCAGGATTGCGCCACTTGCTTTTATGTTTCTATTTATAATCATCGCCGCCGCATACACAAGGAATGGTGGCAATGAGAAACAGACTACATGAAAAAACAAACGGGCGCCAGTGAGCCTCACAGCACCAGTAGGGCACTTCTTCTTAATGAATGGCTGCTGTAACTGCGGCTGCTTCTCTGGCAGATTTAACTACTTTCATTATTATTATAGTTTATTAGGATAAATGCATGACAAGACTGTCAGAAAGGGTATTTATGTGAGCGTACAAATTGTAACTTGGTATTTTTCCTGTCATGCTTCCAAAGAACAAGTTGTGTAGTAACACTGCTCGTATTTGTTCCCCCAATTGTGACCCTTGAGAAGATTAAAGCAATGAATACACTCGATAAATCTCCCCCGGCCACTGGAATTTTAGGCAGGTTTGAATATTTCTCTGGACTGAAAATGGAAGACATTATACAGTCCGGACACTGCATACCCTTCCATGAATGTCACATCATGATCAGCATAACTAAGCATAACTTTTTATTTAATCCCTGATCAAATACAGGCAATAAATGATATCTGCAATGAATCAAAAAAATACTTCTGATTAAGAAGATTCAGGGGATTTAAAAATAGCATAAAAAAGATCACGAAAAATACGATTGCAGCCCCGTCTCCTACGTTCTTAACGGGCAATCGATTGTCTCTGTGGGATAAACTATATGTAGATCTTGGAGACCAAAGGGAAAACCTCCCACTTTGTATCTGGCAATTACTTATAATGGAGGTCGTTGTCAAAGACAGAGGCAGTTCTTGCAGATGCACCCGTTGCAGCATCTGCACTCACGAACAGAGATGGAAAGATCACTGCAACACGAATCCTCAAATGTACGCGGGTTTCAGGCTCAAGCTTCTTTGTCTCGACTAATTTATGTTAACAAGGGACGGCTGCATGATTCATTTGGTTGAGACCGCGAGAAGGTCTCCCTTCCCATAGGATTTATTTAATTAATATTTTATGACCACTTCACCATTTCGTGTCAAATGTCTATTGAGTCTGCTGCACAGCTGCTCCCGGGGGACTCTGGTGAAGGATGTGATCGCATGTTCGTTTATAGAAACTATTATAATTGCAGGTTTGTGAGGATCATGAGAGAAACATTTCTGACCCTTATTTTTCCTCCCTGCTCATTCTTTTGCTTTCTAAGTTTCTTCTTCAGAATCTCAATTTCCCTTCCAAACCCAACTCTACACCACATGTTTTGTTCTCCCGCAGTATCTATGCTCACATAATCTAAATTCATTCAGCTAACTGTGCAATTACGGGACTGACCGATCTCTTTTTCTCTTTTATCCTGCCTGCTCTTCGCTCCGCTCCGCCACAGTGGACGTTAAGCCAGACGCGCCGTTGGCTGTGGAGTCCCTGTCTCCGTTGGACCTGCGTACCGATCCGAGGATGCTGGGGTCAGGCTCTGACCCGGGAATGTGGGAGAGGCAGCTGCAGCAGGAGCTGCTCCTCATTCAGAAGCAGCAGCAGATCCAGAAGCAGCTACTAATCAGCGAGTTCCAGAAGCAGCACGAGAAGTTGACCCGTCAGCACCAGGCTCAGCTCCAAGAGCACCTCAAGGTCAGCGTTGCATTGAATGTTTGCATGGAGGACACAGCGCAGCAGGGCCCAGCACAGTGTACAAAACAGTAGAGCACAACACAGCAGGGCATAGTGCGGATCAGTGGAACACATTAAGGCCCGGGACAACACATCACAGTGTGCACAAAAGAAGAGACAACTCAAGCAGAGCAGGGCACAGTGTTGAGCAATGCATTACAGAACATTGTGGCTTTTGTCGCGACATAATGGTCCATCACCGGAAAACGGGAGCTACAGAAACTCACGTAATCCTCTGTATTTATGAAATGTCTTCATGCTGAGGTGACGCCTGCATATTTCTCAGCTGCAGCATGAACTCCAGGCCATGAAACAGCAGCAGGAACTTGCAGAGAAGGAGCGTCGTCTTGAGCAGCAGCAGCAGCAGCAGCAGCAGCAGCAGCAGCATCAGCAGAGCCAGCAGGAGAAGGAGCAGGAGAGGAATCGGCGGGAGCAGCATGTTTCCAGCCTGATCCTCAGGGGAAAGGAGCGCTCCCGAGAGGGTACGAGCTCCACACCGCCATCATCACCTTAAACTCAGGGCTGGAATGAGGTGTTTTGAGAGCCCCAATGCAAAGTGAACACAAGGCCCACAAATTGTAACCTTAACCCTTATACTATTATTTTAATGTATTAGCACAGAGTGGGGTCTAGGAAAAGCATACATGTAACAGCTGGATGTGAATGTTTTATTGTATCTACAACCGACTGTGTTGAGGATCAATATAGCCTTCGTAAGCGTTAAAATAGCCATAACCTTTCATTTTATTGAGATAAAGCCTCCTTAGATTATTAGTTTATATCTTCTAACAGCAATAGTTACTAATTCTGAAATCCACATGAATATATTTGAAACATCCACACAATTATATTTGATGAAACTACTGTTGAAGTGCTGTGATCAAAACAACACAACTGAAGCTTTGAGTATCCTCCCTACAAAATAGACAATTAAAAAACGTTTTCCATATTGGGTCTTGTTGTATGTAGTAATGCTTATAGATTAGATTATATTTGCCACAATTTTTAGATATTCAGTGGAGAAGCAATTTATATTAATATCCAACAATACAAACATGAAGATGATAAACTGGCGCTCAAGCAGTTCATGCATCTGATGTCATGCGGTTGGTCAGTGACATTTAGTCTTTCAATAGCACGATGAAAATAGCTTGAGATATAGTATTTCATTTCTGTTTTTACCTTCTGGCTAATAATAGAGATATTTATGACTTTGTCTGGTCAGGTAATTCGAAACTGTGACCTGCAACTGTAACCCTGAAATGGGAAAGAACATCTCTCTGCAGGATCACAGCAGTTGAAACTAATACAGTGCTCTCGGTCCACTAGGGGGAGATGTTCATACATAAATTGCGGCTGCCACGGGAACTATAAATAAAAGAGGAAAAAAAAGGAATGAATGTACTGCAAGGCGGTTTGAATTACAGTTATTTATTTGCGATATAATAAAAAGGACGTGAGAGAAACAGTTACAATATGGTTACCGCTTGATTCCTAATAGGCAGTAATATATCAAGAGTCATAGCCCTACGGTGACCCCACTCCTGATGGTCCCGTCTTTTGACCTCACAGGGGCGGTTGCAAGTACCGAGGTGAAGCAGAAACTCCAAGAGTTTCTGTTGAGCAAATCTGCAAAGGACCCTGCAAGCAACGGACTCAATCATTCTTTCATCCACCAGCAAAAACTCTGGTACACGTGAGTAGTTTCAGTTCTCTTTCAGCCTCGTAGAGTGCGATATAAATATGCAAATGTCCTCTACGTCACCATGAAATTTATGTATTTTTGTGTGGTTAGGTCCTCTCACCACACATCTCTGGACCAAAGCTCTCCGCCCCTGGGGGGCACATCCCCCACCTGCCGGTACACTCTGCCATCGCCCATAGAGAGCAAGGACGACTTCCCCTTGAGAAAGACAGGTTCGCTATTTACGCAATCTCTCCCTCACACACACACACACACACACACACACACACACACACACACACACAACGCAGACATTCAAATGCAAAAATGCTCATGCATACAGTGACTTAATACAAAGACTTAATTAAAGAGATGTGAACATAAAGACGCTGCTCTCCATTAGTAATTTTCCATTTACTGCGCTGCGTTTTAAATACAGCGTGTGTCTTTGTGACCTTTGTCAATCAAGAGGTCGGTGCACCGAGTATTTCCTGAGGTCCTGATGACCTGTTAATAACATCAGTTAGGCTCATTATAACCCCAGACCCTCCTCTGCATCCCTCAAGGGCTCAACACAAAAACCTTCATAAGACGGGACGCATGCCAGAAAAGTAACCTAAACCTTCCTTATTCCTATTGCCCCGATTACTCTAAAAACACTCATGTAACGACAGAGTGATATTGTTTTGTTGTTTTTCACTTCACAAGTTTAAATTTGAATTAGTGTTATTTGTACTGAAGTTAACTTGCTACATTTGTGCCTATGTTACAATAATAAACCAAATTCCAAAGCCTCTTTTAGCAGTTTAGTGGGTAATGGGAGAATTAAAGTGGATTAATCTCTCCTGAGTTATAGGCTTTAAAAGCTATTTTGAAAAGACGCAGGTTCCCACCAAAAAGCAGCTCAGGTTTGTTGGTTTTAAAATTTGGGAATGCTTGTATAAATAAGAATGATTCCTGCCACTTGGTTTGAGCAAGCACGAGCTCGCTAAGCTAAATACGTGCAATGAGGTTACTTTATGTCCTTTTCCTGTCTGTGTCACTGTTTATTACATTGGAAAACAATCATACTTGTTGAGGTGTTTAACTGTAGTCTCGTCATGTTGTATGTCTGTACAATTTAGAGATCAGGCAAAGGAAATATATCTTGTAAAATAGGTGAAATAAAGTTACTGCATGGCACGAGAAAAATATTCAAAAGGTAAATGAAGGCTTTCAATCACTCCATCTACACACAAAATGCCAAGAGACATTTCTGGGACGTCTTTAGAAGGAAAGGGGTAACCAACTTAAGACTTTAAGAGTATTAAAAGATAGCAAAGTTACTGTAAATACAGAGCGGCAGGCTCAAACAAATAACATTTTAGTCTGGACATTTCCATCCTTTTAATTCGCGGCTAAACCACCTCTCCCATTTCTGTGCCTGCCTCTCCCGCGCTGATAAAACTATTTCTTGCTCTTCAGATTCCTGAATCTATATGTGGTCACTTCCTGCTTAGGCCTTCCTCCCCCACTTCCTGTCTGTCTTTATTAAGGTCCTCCGAGAGCACGGCACCCGAGAGGGACACACAAAGGTAGCGTTGTTCCCTGAGCCACGAGCTGTCACTGATAGCTGATTGGCAGGTGTTGCAGAGTTGAGCGGGGCACCGGCAGGATGAACCTCGACAGGACTGTTTTGTTTAAGTAAAGATAGCTCTCTCAAAACAAAGTGGAGATGACTCGAATGCTCCGCGTCGGACTCCCCCGTGGCTTTATTCGGCGACAAAGGCCGAGCGCCCCTCGTTTTCTGGTTGAAGTTCACAACAGGGTTTATGATGTGCACGTAATATATATTGCAGAACGCTTGGTGAATAAGTATCTTTTAAAATGTAATTTAACCTCAATCCATTTCAAGCACACTATATTTGAACATTCAGTTATGTACATTATGATAGCTGTTCCCTCTCAGTAAGACAATCTATGCTTTGAGATTTTGTTTTTTGTGTCCCGTAAGTATTTATATCATGCTTTAAAAAACACACTTTAGCTGCACTGCCTTTGGCTTTACTTCATCCATTCAAAAAGCAGTTCAAAGAATGTCACATAGTTAACTTGTTTACTTGGTATATATCCTCTTTATTTCGCTTCCAGGGCCCAGAATAGAGCCGACCGAGGCCATGCGATAGTCTGTGGCAGGAATAGTTGCAGCTTAGCAGCAGGAAGTGCGACACCCTCTCTGACGCTGTTACCAAATATGTGCATTCAGCAGGTGCAGGAATGATTTAAAAAAAGAATCCCTTAAAATGTAGCTGCAAAGCACAAAGAATATCAAAGTAAAACGTGTGTTCGGATCCTCATGAGAATATTACCTGATCTTTTAAAGAATACAACCATGATTTAAGTCGGTAATCTTAAACCACTGAATATCTCAGATTTATTTGGGTTACGGACTCAGTTTTGTGTTCAAGCAATTACGTTGTTAAAAAGGAACAGCAAACGGTGACCATTATTATTCATCAATTTCAGGACCACTTTAAATCAGAAAAATACATAGCAGGCTCTTTATGCACAGAACACACACCTCAGCTTTCAGGCCATCTGTCCGGATCCAGGCTCTAATGGAGACAGGCACTCGCACAACACATTCACTTGCACAGCCACCAGCCCCACAGCACCACTTTCAGATGTAACACGGTGATTGATTTACGACTCCGGTATATTGGCGCCATTAGTGCATGTTTTTGTTAACCGAGAAGCTGTAGCAGAAGTGACCCAGGTGTTCGGTGTATGTGCTCTGTAGCCGCCATCATTACCGCCTGTTGCATCGTACATCAGAGACGTTCTTTTTTCCCCCCATGGAGACCAGGGGAAAAAGTGTTTGTTCCTGAGGTGCTGCCTGGCGTTCCCGTGGCGACCAATTGGGATGCGTAGCTTGGTGGCAGCAGTGTGTAAAAATAGAAAGCAATCAAGGCAGCGGGGCGTGAAGTAGATTCATACGACTCCCAGCAAGCTATTTCTCTCCGTTTTATCTCTCCTGCTTCTTTTCTTCCTCCCTCGCTCTCGTTCATTCTACCTCACACCCACAGGATTAGAGGTCTGTGCCACGTATTAGGGAAGAAGGTTTTTGCCGCTTTTGACAAAGGCCCAAAATAGCAGCATCCAGCCCACTCTCCGAGCTTTGCCCCCCATCGCCGCTCCCTCTCCTCCTCCCGCGTCACGGCCCCACTTCCCTATGGATCGTTGTACACATTGCAGTAGGCATATTTAATTATTGATCTGAGCTAAATAATTGAAACAGGTTGGCTATTGTGTAACAGGTTTACATAACTTTAATACGGCGTTGTGTTCTGGCTTTCAGTCAACCGAGCAGCTTTAATGTGGTCTGCTAGTTTGTTTGAGTGTGTGAGGCCGGTCTTGGCCTCAGTCAAATGATTATTTTGTATTATTATTATTGAGCCAATCTCACCGCTTTCTTCAACCTGTTGAATTGTCATCACACTAGGCTTTGTTTTGGTACTTTGGAGATCATCTGTTGTGTGTAACAATGCGTGTTGGACTGAGGTTGAAAAAAAAACAAAGACAGGATTCATTCATTTCAAGTGAAACAAAATGCCAATTTTTACTGAATGTCCACCAGTCCTAATTAATACTACCTGTTTAGAAGCAATACTTCCATTTTGAATTATATTGCATACAGCGATGGACCAAGCCTACATCAATAAGGCCAAGGTGTGTGTGACGCACTGTGCATTTGGGTATCTCTGTTTTGCATTAGTAGGGGGGGGGGGGTGTAGAGAGGCCTGAAACATCTGCCCTGTTTTTGTGTTATTTTAACTGTTGCTACTGTATCAGACTGTGGTCACCAGGGCGGCAGGTAGCGGACTATTCCACTTAGAGCCTGTGTTGCTCAGCCTAATTTAGTCCAGATGAGGTGGAAATGGGCCCAATCCTGACTCATTTGATACATCTGAAACATGCTCTAAATTTCACTGAAACTGAAATAGTTTGATGTCAAAGCGTGAGAACATTGCTTCTTTCTCCAACTGATTTATAGTCTCCTTACGTCTCTTTTAGTCTTCTGCTATTTTACGATGTGACTGTTTTCTTTTGATTTAACTCAGGCTAAATAAAAGCAGAACCGTTTAACTCTATAAAAATGGTCAAAGCACATCCTGACAACCGTATAATTCATCTCCATCTGATGGGGCTTCTTTGTTGTCCAAATATTGTGAATTGACCTAAAAAAATGTCTGCTCTCTGTTTTTTAGCTTCTGAGCCAAACCTGAAGGTACGATCCAGACTGAAGCAGAAGGTAGCAGAGAGGAGGAGCAGCCCGATGCTCAAGCGAAGAGACGGACACATCATGACACCTTACAAGAAGAGGGCTTTGGAGCTAATGGGTATGTTATATTTCTGGCAATTTTGTTGAATTTGATCTTTCCCTGTTCCACATATCCAATAATTGTCTAGATATTATTATCTGCGGTCTAAAGGGTTTTCTCACAACAATGCATGCCTGTGATTGTGAAGTGTTTTTGTTCCATAGCTGCATAATAATTTTTCACTTCAGTAGCACATTATGCAAATAGCCTTTTTATGTAAAAAGTCCATTGCAATCATGCAGCCATGAATGCACACATGGAACTGTTGTGTAAACGTGCATGTGTTTGGTGTGTGTGATGTGTAGAGTGTGAGTAACTCCGCATCTAACTCCTTGATGTTTCGCAGACTCCACGCCCACAAACAGTGCCCCCGGCTCCGGCCCGAGCTCTCCCATAGGGGCCTCCAGTGCCTTGGGGGCTGAAAATGGACCCTCCTCTCTGCCTACTACCACAAAAACTGAGGTATGTTATTAAATCACTTGCACTGTTCATTTGCTAAAAAAATGAAGCAAACATCCTACTGCTGCACTGCAAGAAAATCCTTTGAATATTAAAAACTATATTTTTATGAGTACAAATTCCTGTTTCCAGCTATAAAAGCAGCCGGTTGTCCTCAGTCTATTGCACTGCATTGAAATGACTCCCCACACTGACATTAAATAGGCACAGCTTGACACACATGTCTGATTAGGCCCGAGTTTGCTTGTGCAAAGATGACACATTATGTAGTGCAAAAACAAAAGTAGAAATGAATGCTGCACATTTTATTTTCTCTACTCAACACGTTTCTTCCAGATGTGCTGAACAATCAGCTTCATGTTTTTTTTTTTACTTTTCTTTAGTTTGGCTGTAAGGTTACCGTTGGCTTGTCATTGTAGTCCTGTCATAGTCTTGGCCGCCCGCCTCTTTTGAGTGCTTCGCAGGCGTTTCCCAATAGGTTCATGGCTGAGTTACTGACCAGAGCTCCCCTTGGGCCGAGCTCACAAAGCGAGTCATTATAGAGGGCGGCAGATATGACGCATCTCTGAACAATCTTTACAGAGCAGCTGTGTTTTCCTTAACCGTCGCTGTTTACACTCCCGGGGATGATCAGCGACACAGAGCAGGGGGAGACGCCCTGACATGGCGTTGAAGTTCGGGGCTTGGGGAAACGTACAAACTGAGGAGTTTGATTGATATCCCAGGCACTGGTAGCCAAAGACACCCACAAGCTAACTACACAAACACACATGATTGCTGTTGTATCGGCCCCCGAGCAAAAAAGTCCTCGGTGGCTGCTGGGGCTGCATGTGGACCTCATGCCTGTTGCAAAAGCAATGGCATGTTTGTGCACCGTTACATTAGGTATCCTTTTTCAGAGGGAACGGTTCCCCTGAGTCAAATATGGGCCGGATATCCACACACAGGTCACTGAGTGCTGCTAGGGGTCGCAAGGATAAACATGGCTGTTCCAAAACCACATGCTGCTCCGCTGCTCAGCTGGGTACAGGATGTATGCCCCAGTGGCGCTGTTCTCTGAGAGAGTGGCCTCGGGGGGTGGGGACCACGGAGTGGGAACAGGCAGCCGGCCGATGGGGGGGGGGGGGCTGATTTAGAGGTATTATAATAGTGTGTCAACCCCTCTGGTGGCATTCTGTGAAGCTCCAGGAAAACGCTTGCTGCTCCTTTACAACCACTACAAAAACTCAAACCTTTCCTTTCCTTCCCATAGTGCATTCATGTGTGTGCCACTGCCCTTGTTGCCTTTTTAAACGGGCCATAGTAGGATTTCTAAATCTGTTGCCTTCTCCTAAATCTTTCTCTTTCTTATTTCCTTTGCTTTTTGATGTAGCGATGGCCTTCACAGACGAGATTATTCCGACCAGAGGGCTCCGTGTCGATGCTAAGCCTCTACACTTCTCCCTCTTTACCAAACATCTCCTTGGGGCTTTCAACTGCATCCTCACCCATAAGTGTGAGTACAGATCATTTTATTTCATGTCTTTGGATACTCATGTTTGTTTGACATGAAATCAAACATGCTTAATACTGTGGCTCAGTACTGTGGCTTTCTGCTCAGTGAGAGTTGTAAAACGTCCCATCAGTGGCTGTCTAAGTTCTCTTTGTGACCACAGGTCACTGACCTTTGGCCCCAAATGATTTTATCACCCTTAGATAAATATTGTTCCCCAGTGTCTCGTGTCAGGCATGCTCTTATCTTCCCCTATTACCTCATTTATCACAGCTTTCTAAAAAGGCCAAGTCCATTCAAGTGCAACTCCTGATAACGCGGCACATGATGTATCATCTTGGCCCATTCCACAGAGGCTTGTTCATCAGTTGCAGGAACCTCTTAGCATTGAGGGTCTCTGTTTTCGTCACGGACTGATTTGTAGCCACAAGAAGATTTTTTTAATTCACAAAAACAAACTGTAGGATTGAATATGCCCCGTTAAATGTTGCATTGCCGTCACAAGATTATAAGTAACAAACCAGCCTAATGCACAGCATTTGCATCTTCTTTGTTTCTTCCCTCAGGCCGCCATCGGGTTGGGGGACAGATCAACAGAAATCAAGCACGGGCTGCCTGGGCACCTGCTGGGCCCTGTGCCCCTTCAGACGGGCCTGGAGTCTAAAGTGAGCCCCAGTCACCAGGCCCTCCTCCAACACCTCCTGCAGAAGGAGCAGATGAGGCAGCAGAAGATGCTCTCTGCTGGTCAGATTACGTTACATTACCTTGCAGTCCAATATATATCGTCACGCTATGAATTAAAAGTAATGTACAGTATAAAATGAATAGAATCCTAATACCGGTTTTGATTTATTTCTATTTTCAAGGCCAGGGCACCCTGTCGTCCCACCCTCAGTCCCCTCTGGCCATGAAGGATCGCCCCTCCAGCAGTCGGCCGAAATTACCCAAACACCGGCCCTTGAACAGGACCCAGTCAGCGCCGCTGCCACAGAACACACTGGCCCAACTTGTCATCCAGCAGCAACACCAGCACTTCCTGGAGAAACAGAAACAGTACCAGCAGCAGATCCATATAAATAAGGTATTGCGCCGTTCATCAATATCCGAATCGCAGAGGAGGATTTTTACTTTCAAATTTCTATTGGCAGAAGTCCCGTTTTCCCTTGTAGGTCTCGGGAGGTCTTATCTTACTGCAGGGAGTCTGATTTAATCGTTTTGAGCACACAAATGCTGATCTATTTATAGCATTTTGTAAAAGCATCCGTGGTATACGCAGGGTTAGAGACTCGGGCTGTTGTCTGTTCTTCCCTGGAATCCTGCTGTTATTTCTGCGAAAGCAAAGAACTTCTGCCTTACTTCAAATGGGGAAGAAATGCTCCGCCTGCACTAATTCTGTTATCATAGCTTAAGGCATCAGTGCTGTTCACATGCTAACTCTGTGAAATTCAATTCTGCTAAGTTCAAATCAACGAAAAAGTGCCCAGAATACATTTTGTTCCTCTGAGGCAATATTTGTGTTTCTGTTAGCTGGCCGAGGTGACCTCGCTATATACAAAGTGTAATTATTCTGGTGAGGGACGTGTGTGAGGTGGCAGATACTGTGAAAGGCAGCATTGTGTGAGCTCACACACTGATGTATCCCATTGCCGGAGCCATGGGAACTATAGAGCAACTCTCAACCCAGAAGTCATAAAAAGCACAAAGCAACACAAGCACAGATTCAGTTTTTACTGTACCAAACCGTTTTAGTTGGAATTCCTCCTGTGGAACTACAACTGTTCATTAACATCAGCCGGAATTATTGAAAAGTTGCGTTCGACTTGAAGAGCGCTTTGGAATAATTGCGACATCTTGTCCAGCGTCATCATCACTCAGGCCAATGAGATCGCAAGTAAAGCCTCTCTAAGTGGAGGTTATAAATGGCCGCTAATCGGGGATGAGCCCTCTGTGTTTATTGAGAGGGATATCCGAAACATTGCCCTAATTAATTTCCCAGCAGCCGCTGGTCTCCGGTTGTTTTTAAACGCCCTTCTGTGCCGGCAACAATAGGGGGCACTGATGGAAATTTACAAGAGATTAGGGAGTTTACCAAGTGGTATGGAGAGTGTTTGCTAATGCCAGGCAAAGGAGGCTAATTCTTATAGCTGAACGGGTATTTATATAAGGCTGCAGACAGCTGGGGCAGGCGCTCCGGGTCTCGGAGCCCTCTTGTGGCCGACTGAAGGGGTCTTAGCATCGTTACAGTAGCTAATCTGCGAGACACTGGCGGACTGTATTTCTACGTGCATATCTATGTACCTCACAATAGTTTTCTACTACTTGTAACATGCTTTGATGCCCCCAACATGTTGAAACAAATGAATACTGTAATTGATTAAACTATTTTTTATGTAAGTACGACAAAAACTTGAATTTGAACGATGGCCACAGTTTACATGAGAAAAAAGGATTTATAATAGGCCAGATATTCTGATCTTGGTTAATCCACTTAAGTGTTTTTTGTTCCAGTAATAGAAGAACAGTCTCTTTTACAACCTGACAACGCTTTTTTCCCTTTTCACTTGTGAAGCGAATTCATACTTTTCCAAAAAAATGTTCACCATAGATAGTTTTGTAAAGAAGCTCAGAGTGCTCAAGTGTTTGGCTATAACTGCATGCGTAATGCTGTTCATGTGCTAGAAATCCCATTGCCTATTCTTTTTGCTTTCCTCTGATGAATGTTTGATTTGCCAAAGATCATTAGCTGCAGGGTATCATCATTAACGTGGAGCCTGTGTTTTTGCACAGCTGCTATCCAAGTCCATCGAGCAGTTACGTCAGCCCAGCGCACACCTGCAGGAATCGGAGGAAGAGCAGGAGGAGCATCACAGAGAGCTGCCACAGAGCATGCAGGAGGACAGGCTGCCCCCCGGAGGAGTCATCCGGAAGCACACGCTGAGCAGCAGCAGCGGCTCGAGCGGCGAGCTCCCCGACGTGCACTACGGGGTCATCAGGGTCAAGGAGGAGCCGGCTGACAGTGAAGACGAGGCCCTCGCCGCTCAGGGCATGGAGGCCGAGCAGAGCACGTATCTCCACCAGGTCAAAGGACGGCTGGTGATAAGAGCCATGATCTGAGAGGGGGGGGGGAGAGGATGAGATCACACACTCGCAACATTCACAGATAAACCAAGTCTCGACAAAGATGGGCATCTACATCCCTTCAGTTTAGACACACGCACACAGTACACACACACACACACACACACACACACACACACACACACACACACACACAGCAGCCATTGCACAGTAGGCCAGCTCTCCCTTTCATGACGTATGACCCCTCTTCACCCGGCTGCAGCCCGCACTCTAAGACTTTCTATTTGTGATTTTTGTGTAGTGGTCTCTGTAAAATATGTACGTTTCACTTTTGTGTATATAATATGAAAACAATTTAGACCGTTCTTTTTAAGAGCTGCTTTGATCTTAGAGTCTTCTCAACTGACAAAAAGCTGTGTGTAAAAAATACTTTAGATTTAGCATCAAAGATGATTTCTAGAGGGAATGTCACACAGGTGTACAGCTTTGAAGAGCCGACTCATGTTCCCATCGTGTACATTTTTGCCATGAAACATTTGAATGCTCTTCTATCCACTTTGAGAGTTATCATAGAGTTTGTTAAGGAACTTGACCCACTACACTCGTTTTTTCTCCATTATCTGTTATGATCTTCCACGTTAAGTGGTCTCTGACTGAAACAGTAATGAACATCTGTCGGAGGGAATGTATACGTAAATCCTGAACTCAGGACTCTCCCTTTGGGCAGTCTTTTGCGCTAAGAGCGATTTTGCCGTTGGAATATGGTCCACTGCTCACATTGAAATTTGAAGGATAAAGCATCAAATCCCCGCTTGTGTGTGAAGGCATCTCCAAACACCACCCCTCTCCCTCTCTGTCTCTCTCTCTCTCTTTCGTAGCGGTCCCACAGTCGCCAGGGCTCTGTGTTAAGCCGAGCTCTCCTCCCTCTGGGTCCAAATCAAAGCTCGGCGGGTTCCTGCCCAGCTTTCAGCAGAGGAGTCAGGCAGAAAGAGAGAGACAGAGAGAGAGAGAGAGAGAGAGAGAGAGAGAGAGAGAGAGAGGGCCGGGCAGGAAATGCCTCCTAGAAGCCAGGAGTTGGAGTGATTCATGTGTGCAGGAATGTTGAGGGAAGAGGACCTCGGGTTTGAGGAGTCCAAGGGGCCAGGCTTGAGAATTGATTTACTGTCATGGCGAATTATAAAGTGAGTGGGGATATGGTTAAGGGAGTCCCTTTTAAAGGGAATCGCTTCCTACGTATTTCCTCGTGGCATGCTTACCTCAAACATGCAGGTCTGACGTTGCCTAAATAATAAAAAAAAATGAAAAAATAGACAGGACCCTGCTTTTTTTTTCGAGCCTGTTTTCCCCCCCAAAAGTGCCCATTGCGACTTGTATAGCCCGTCTTAAAGAGATCAATCAAATGTATTGCTTAGCCCTAAACCTTCCTGTTTCATTTGTACCGTCAACTAAATGTAAAAAAAAAAAAAATGCTAGTATGAGGTTCTGTGTTTGGTTTCATGTGAAAATCAAAACTGTCTAACGTCTAATGCTGTACATTCAGATTGTCCGGTTTTAATGTTTTTAGTGTAAGTGAACACATTTAGAACAATGTGAGTCCTGTTGTCTTGTTGAGAACCCCTCTGCTGCCAGCGGGGGTGGGTGGTGGAGGGTGGTGGGGAGGGTGGGTGGGTGGTGGAGGGGGGGATCCTGTGCTCTGTTCATAGCAGTTTGCATTTCTTCTCTTTCTTGCCTTGTGTGATAAACCGTTCTTTTTTAAAATAAAGTTAATTTACCTCTTTTTTTTGTTGCATTTTTTTATACATAAACCCTCACATTCAGAAAGCAGAATAAAATTCCATTTAAGTCTTTCAAAAAAGTGTTTTTCAGTTCACAAATTAGACTGTTAATACTTAGACAACATGGTTTCACATGGGCTGCCTAAACCGTCCGTGCAGCTTGTTTTTCCCACACTCGGTCCTGTAACTTAGCTATTTATTTTCAGGGGATCTTTGTGGCCCTTTAAAGGGAGCTTAAGAGGCTTTCGAAACATGTCTTTGATGTTAGCAAGCGAGGCTTCTTGTGGCAGTATTAGAGCAGTCGAGATAAGGTGAGCAGCGAGAGGCTGATATATTACTTACTCAAGCAATTTCACAGCAGGCTTAGTTCGTGGGACTGGCTTGATATGCAATACACACAACGATGGGACTGGAAAAGTTCACTCTAATGTTGCGTTCTGCTAAACGCCACCCTGAGAACATCTTTCGTCAGAAAGAACAGTGTTTGTTTACAATGGTGACCAAGTTGTGCTCCTAGAAAGTTAATACACGCTGTACACGACGGCTCCAGACTTTCATTTTTTAAATAATATAACACAATAAAACACTTTCTCAGGTATTTTCACAAAGGTGTAGAGTTACTTCACAATCTGAGGTATTTGACTTAAATTGGGCGATGTCTCTTAAGTAGATCCCATCCGTCTTGGGCTTCAGGCCCTTGTGATTTTAAATGAGCTGTTACAAAGGCAGAAAAAATAACGAAGACCCGAATCCCCCCCCCCCCCCCCCCCACAGAGCCCGTTGTAAAAGCAAACAAGCATTTTTAAAGGTGTAAGGAAGTAACAAAGACATAAAACCTACCTATTTACTCTAAATGTATTAGACTCTTAGTGAGGCATGATTTTCTTTTCACCTCAAGTGCTGTAAAAAAACATTTGGATGCAGTGTGCACGTACGTTGGCTTATTTTGTAAGCACAGTGTAAAATGTAAATCCTTCTACTTCAATGGCTTTGATTCAACAAGAAACATTCTCGCACTGCTAAATTATGAGCCACTGATATTTTGAAGTGAAGCAAGAATAAAATAAAAACACAAGACTTCATACCAATTGAAAGAGACAAAGCGAAACCTTCATGTGTTGAACTGAATTTCATCCGTCAGTTTTCAATACATATATATTTTCAAGATTATTTCACAGCCGAGAATGTACATGATTTCAGATAATATTAATCAAATCTTTCTATTTTATTTATCTAAGAGAGTTTAATCTAAGAGAGTTTAAAAAGAGATTGATTGATTATTGATTAAAAAGAGAAAAAGGCATCAATCGTTGAATGGCAAAATCCCTTGACTGGTGGAATGATGTAGCCTGGAGATTTATTGTTCCAGCATCACGATAAATAGCCAACATTCTTTGCAGGTTACGTGATACTACACCAGATGACAGGTCTCAAATTTGAAAATGACAAATGTTTCACATTTCTTTTCCCGCTTAATCTCCTGGTGTTTCCATCCACTGAGTTTTGTTGTCTGTCATCCATTGCTAGCAACCCTCAGTAAAATTGAAAAATATTCAGCCTCATCTGGACGGGAAAGAAAACATTCTGCAGGTCTACTCACCTACACTTCTCATGGTATACGGACAACAGCGTTATTGACCCCAATATATCAGAACCTGGCCAAGCAAAGCCACTGTTTCCAAGTTAACACATCTGTTGAAGTGGAATTTAAGGTACTTTTACAGTAACAATCAAGAAACATTTATTACACTTCTTGTTCGTGTCAGGGACTCCAATAAGGATCCAAACTGAAAACCTAAAGAATGTAAATTTAGAAGAAATTTCCATCTATAAATATGGACCATGAATACGAATAAGGAGAAGAAAATGGATGGACAATAGTTTGCTAACTTGATGTTGCCGTCTCTTCCAAAACATAAAGGAAGGTGATTTACAAACAGTTAAGAACATTGATTGAAACATAAAGAAAAACAGTCAAACATACAGCAAAAAAAGCTACACAGCCATTGAGATATACAGCTCTTGCTATTAATGTGTTAATTTAGTTTGTATTGTTTTTCAGATTTTAGGTTTTGACATAGTATATATCTGTTTATCAAACATGTCTCGTCACCGGAGTGACAAAATGAGAATAAAACAGGACATTAAGGACATATTCCAGCTTCCTCCATGTCAAGATCTCTTTGAATCTGCCATCTATTATCACAACGTGGTGTTTTTCGTTCCATGTGCAGTGAACCGGGCTCCACGTGGAGGACAGTGCAGCACTGGAAGCAAACCGAGGAGCCTGTGTTGCGTGCTGGTGTGAAAACAACATAAAAAAAAAGAAAACAGTAAAATAATCGGCCTGATGTCAGATAAATGTGATTTCTGTGAGGCCAACCTTTCTTTCTTGTTCAATAAGCATTTCAAAGACTTGTATACTTGAATGAAATATGTGTCGTTTTAGAGCCTGTGTTGTGTAAATTAACCTGAAACACAGGAAATCGTTTTGCAAGAGCGGAACACAAAGTCCACATCCTTTCTTGTTTCCTAAGTTGAAACATTGAGGAGCCAACACAGATCGCCTCTATATTACCAGCAGTGTCTCTGACTGGTGTTATCCATTCGGTTATCTTAGACTTTCCAGGATTAATATACCTTTTCAAGTTTAATGAGATAAGAGGCCTGTGGGAGTTCTCCCCCTGCTGTGTTCAAAGACCATCCGGCCTGAGGAACTGCTTTATCTCAGCCACTGATTGACCTGGCTGATAGGTGAGACTGAGGAACCACAGTGGCCCAGGAAAGTGGCCCCTCCAGCGAGGAGACGTAGACGGGCAAACTTGGCCTCGGCTGCCTGAGAGGATCCCATCAGTGGGGCTCCGTATTTCATGGGATGCAGAGTCCTCCCTTTAACTCCTACAAGCAGGCACTTTTATGTGCCCACCTCCCTCACACCGTCCAGTCCGCAGCCCATAAAGAAAGTTCGCTGCTCTCAGCTAGTTGGACAGGACGTGTTGTAAGTGTTGCCTGAATGCACCGCCGGGCAAAATGACACCCAGTGGGCTCGTAAGACCCGAGAGTTCTTTCTCCAACTCTGTGCCAAGAGAACATTTTGAGCTCCAGCTCAACTCTCCTAAAATGTAGCCATTTGTGGCTCGTGACCCTGGACCCCCTGGGGTTTGTCTCATGATGTATGTGGAATATCTAGTATTATAATTGTAAGGGAAACACAGAAAGCCAATAATAATGATCTGACTTAAAACACCACAAAATGAACCCTCCCTTAAAACAAAATGTTCTCGGAAAGAAATTCAGTTCTACATTGAAGTCTAACTACTTAACAATAACATTATCATTCAAATAAATGATCATTCAGACATTTACATCAAACGACACATTGCGCTTGTTATGGACCGCATGAAGAATGTCTTATTCTGGGGTTTATTTGTACATTTTAAGAAGAGATTAACGACAGAAGATAGTATTGGAATGCAGCCTGAGGGAGAGTTTGCTCTGGGGAAATATTTCTCATGAAGGGTTTAAGGGTCCTCTCTTTATCATTATATATTGAGAGAATAAAATGTGGGGGTCCCTGAAAAGGTCCCCAAAGCATCTGTATGTTAGGGGTGATCCCACAGCACTATATCACAGTTCAACCTCCGGGGGAATCATCTGTGTGTGGACACATGAGGCATGTGTTGTTGCTGCTGGTTGGTGCAGGTCGGAGGAGCTCCATTAACGCTGCCGACCACGTTTGCTCATCTTTGCGAGCTCCAAATAACGTCACCTCTCAAACACACCGGAGGATACGCTTCATGCCCGAGGCCTGTCTCAAGTTAAATGTATTGCTCAGTAATAGTCACGGTCCAAGATATTCATTGATATTGATACTAAAAAAAAAGAAAACGAGTATTTAAACGGAACAATTTCGGTCACATTAATCGCTAGATCAGATGCTCTGGTGAAATGCAACCGTAAAAGCCACTGAAAAACACAATGTTCGTTGTTCCTGCTCATTTTGATATGTTTACGTCCACAATGATAATCTGGTGGGAGAAGCTTTGGAGAAGCGCCCGGAGAAACAATGCGTTGTCGTTGTTGCCAACTTGTGACTTTGCCACTACGTTTAAGGATCGGTTGCAGCCCCAGCTTCAGGGTACAAACCATTTAGAGAAAGAACATGTTATTCAAAATCCGTCAAATAAAATGTAGTTTATAATCTTCCCCTGTGAATTTATGGGTTTTTCTTTCTTTTTTTTCTGGGACTTTTAATAATCTTCTGCTCTGCGTGTGTGAAACCACAGCGTGATCCAGAGGGTGCATGAAGTAAACATTTCTGGACGACATATGAGAAGTTTTTAAAAGCCATTGTCGTCGTGATAAGCTCCGGAGAGAGTCACTGTGTTATTCACATAATTCATAACGAGCTACGCGGTGTAATGTTGTGTGACTTGTTTTGGTGGAGGCCAGACTGTGAATTAGCACTGTGACAGATCCACGGTGCTACATCACAGTTTCAACAGAACAGCTCAGTGTAGGCACGTTGTTGACTGAACATAACGCACCACCAATGCAAAGCAAGAATGTGTTACCCGACCAGACGGGAATGTGTGCCCACGCTGATGCTGAGAGTCGTGACGGAGCTTTTCTTTTGACAAAGTAGGAAATCACTGTCTGCATGAGGGGGGGGAGATCGTGTGATTTGAAAAAGCACAGGATACTTCAAATTGTGTTACA